TGTGTCAGTACTGTTTTATTTTTATTTAATAATATGAATGTAGGATATATTATCTTATTCATATGGGTAGAGATGTGTAAACAGATTTAATACAAGACTAAAGCTGTGAATATTTAGTCTGGATTGATCTGACTCTCATCAGAATATTTTAAACTACATCAGCCAACAATGCTGACCAACAATCAGAGAAACCTGTTTGTTTCTGACAGAATGAAAATAGAAATAATTCACTCACACAACAGCTGGAACTACGTTAATTTTCAGACGGACAAAAGAAAAAAACAGTGGCCAAAATTGCAGTCTAAATGCACCAGAAAGCAGAGTTTAACACTTATTTTTCTAATATTTCTGAGGAAGCATTTATTTTATTCTTAAACCGTACTGCTCAGTCCTACTTGTTATGGGATTACATACAGTATATTTAACTGTGTTCACTTATTATCACATTCAAATCTTTCTCTCATCAGCCACCTAAAATCATCTCACTCTTCACTGTAGCACCATCATGCACCTCAGCAGGTCTGGCTCTCCCTGTCTCACCCTCAGCTGGTTCATTCTGAACTTCATCTGATCTCTAATATAAAAACTGTGGACAGGAATAAGGAGTAAAAAATGCTGTTGTAGTGCAATATAAAAATCATGGTTGTTATAGTATTAGTTAGTTGTGTTCACTTGTTATCATGCTCGAATCTTCCTCTCATCAGGGGCCGCGTTAGGTCCGGCTACTTGGGCTCAAGCTCATTTTGACAGTGTTGCTTAGTTTCAGCTTCAGTTCAGCTATTAAGCTGATTCAGCTAACAGTTTAAGCTATCCAGCATTCAAACAGCATTCCTGCAAGAAATGCAATTTATCTAGTTAGTCTGGTTATAGCTCTGCTGGCTCGGTCTATGTGGTCTTTCACACAAAAGGTAGATAATTAGTCACACCTCGTTCAGTTGACTGACTCGTGGTTATTTGACTAATTACATGCAGGTTGGGATACTTATGCAAATATGCACCTGTGAATGGTTGTTCTCTCAGTGCAGCAGAAAGGTCATGTTTCTCATTGTTGCGTATCAACGGCGCAAAGCGAGGGTGGCTAAATGATGTTCAGCATGACAGCATGAAGTCACGTATTAGCCAGATCCCTTGCCTCTATTCAAATACAAAGGTCACTGTCACTTTGTGTCGGAGAGCTGATACGGAGCAGATTTATGAGCAGCGTCTCCAAATGAAGCTTCATTTATAAACTTTAGGGTTTGTCCTAATGTCTTTGCAGCCTGTCCTGTGAATAAGCATGTCTTCTTATCATGATGTATGACAGCACTTAGCTCGCAAAGGAACGTTTCAGAAAATCTATAATGACTGAACTCTAAAAACTGAGCACTGTCTTGTTTAGATAACGTCAGTAGTTGCATTGAGTTGTAAAGGTATCAGGAACTTACATATAAATCCAACCTCCTCCCTGGCTTAAACACAAGTTCATCCCTTCATTTCATATCAGCTGACCTTTGATGTCAGGTCAGACCTTTCATATCATTTTTCCTCTGAGGAAAACCTTCATTCAGAATGTGCCTTCAGTCTGTAGCTTCATATTTTGACCTGGTTAGATGATTTTACCTTTGTGTGGCATCAACGAATGAATGCGATGTGCAGCCAATCAGAAAGCGAGGTTTGGGAAGCATGCTTCACACTTCTCCTCTGCCATGTGTGTTTGCCCTGAGGTCGTGCTTGAAATTGTGAGATTTGCCATCTGGCCATGCTCCTGGACAGACATTCCCCATCACGCACTCTGCGCTCCTCTGACCAAGGCCTGCTCGCTGTCCCTCGTTCTAGGTGTCGTACTCGCGGGGACCGGGCTTTCTCAGTACTAGCACTGTCACTTTGGAACCAGTTGCCACCCTCAGTTAGGCTGTCCCCATCTCTGCCAGTCTTCAAGAGCCGCCTAAAAACACAACTCCTCCGCTTGGCGTTCCCTGAATGTATTTGATTTAGGCCATCATTTATGTTGCTTTTATCTCACAGACTTCATTGGTTCAATTTTTCCCTTGTTTTACACATTTATATTCGACTAGAATGTTTCACCTTTTTTTTAATTTGTAATCTGTAATTTGAATTGCTTTTATTTTCTGATTTATTCACTTTATTTGACTTTGTACTGTACAGTGTTCAGCGCCTTGGGCTTCCTCACAGGATTGCGGAAGGCACTTTATAAATAAAGCTTTGATTGACTGATTGATTGAAAGTGAAATGTCTTGCTGTGTGACCACACGTTGTAGAACTACAGCTGTGATGTTTACTGCCACATGTGCGATCTCTCATGGTTGGAAAAGAGCTCGACTATTTAACAGTCCTGCTGTGTTTTTCAGACCTGTGGCTACATATTCCACCCAAGTGAAGGGTTGTAAAGTAATGTCTGATGGTGGTTTGTCTGCATTTCTAAACTAGCACCCTTCCTGCACCCGTCCCCCCTCTCTACTGTCCACTCCTTGTTCCCTCCTCTCCATGAAGTTGTTGTTGTTGTTGTTAGCCTCAAGGGCAACATGCCGATTACCACTTGTAAGTCACTTTAGACAAAAGCATCTGCTAAATACATAAACATAAACATAAATGTTAGGGACCTGAAACTGGACCTTACCTCTGTTGCATAAACACACCAGCAGGAATCCCAGCCATCGGGAAGTTTCAGGATTCCAATTATTAGCTTTTATTTTCCAAACTCCCAACTACTAAGGTTCACCCAAAACTGGACGGATGAGTTGTTGTCCTGACGTATCTGCCAGGCTGTTTAGCTCTGAATAGTTTCCAGTAATAAAACACTTAAGTACTGTTTTCCGTGGGCCCAGAGGTTCTTGTTCTGTAGCTTCAGACCCAGCAGCTGTTGCATCTCTTTCATTCAAATGTAAGATGTTAACCTCCCAAACACACACACACACACACACACACACACACACACACACACACACACACACACACACACACACACACACACACACACACACACACACACACACACACACACACACACACACACACACACACACACACACACACACACACACACACATCCCTTATAGCCGGGTGGCTACAAGTTGGACATCTGACTGGGGTCTTTTCTGCTCTCCAGCCACAGGTACGTGGAGGGTTGGTCCTATGTGTGTCTCAGGCATCAGTTTAGGTGTAAAAGTACAGCTGGTCTCTAATGGGACAACCTGAAGCTGTTTGCATCTGAACTGTCCTCCAACAGCCGTACCAACCACACATAACCTGGGGGTTGAAGTAGGACCATGGACAGCGTCTGAAGTTGTCCACTGGCTCTCGTCATCCAGCTTTAGGTGTCCTCCCCTGGTTCCTCCGGTTGTAATAATACTCTTGCTCCTGTTGGGCAGTAGTATCTGATTTTTTAGCACCTCTTGGTCAGGGAATTTTGGCCCTAGATTATTGAACAAAGAACCTAAGTCTTCCAAACTTCATGTCTGCTGGGCTGATCCCAGTGGAAGGTGATGGGGCAGCTCTATATGTCATCAAGGCTTGAAGAACCCTAACCCTAGCTATCTGGACAGGGCCACGGTTACTCAGAGGATAATGATGAATTAATTCCTCTCAGAGGACCATTTTCACTCACCAGCACGTCTGGAATACTATTGCATGTGAAAGTAGCCTTCAGTTTTTCTTCTTTCTGACATTTTGTGGCTGAAGGTCAGAGTAGAACTTCTAAGAACTTGTGTAGTAACACAGGCCTACCCCATTCTCTGTCACGGTCTGGAGGGTAACTCTCAGCTTCATGGATTACTTTCTTTCTCAACCCAGTGGGAATAATGATTCTGCCTCTAAGCATCTACCTCAGACAGCTCCCATCTCACCTGACAGATGTCTCTGAGGAGCCAGCTTCACATGTTTAAGCCATCACACATGGATGAGCTATCAGTCAGCTCTGATCAGTAGCATCTTCTGAGATGACGCAGGAACATGTCTCAAGACAAACTCAACATGAACAACATTATTGTGTGAAGCCATACATACAATATGTGTGTTCTAAATTAGCCAGAAGCATTGGGATAATAAATAAAACAAGATATTCTCTACCACAGAAAGCACTGCACACACTTTATTGTACTATGATTCTACCATACTTATCATATTGTGTCGAAGTATGGGGCAATACTTATAAATCTAATTTATTAAAGATTTGTGTTCTCCAAAAAAGAGTGAGAAGGATAATTATAAATTCTGGATATAGAGATCATACAACTCCATTATTCTATAATTCCACATTACTCAAATTTTTTGACTTAATTCAATTTAAAACTGTCCTTGTACCGTATAGGGCCATGATGGGTGTACTGCCGTGTAATTTGCAAAGGATGTTTAAAACTCATGAAGAGGGTTATGAATTGAGAGGCGTTAAAAACTTCATTTTTCCATTATACCGAACAACTATGAAAAGTATGTGTGTATCTGTATGTGGTATCAAACTGTGGAACAAACTTGATGTGACTTTAAAATTATGTAAAAACATTAGATCATTTAAAATGTTGTATAAACAACTTTATAATTGACTCATACATAAATAGCAAGTGATAAAAATGGTAATTGGCTTTAAATGGAATATTTTGTTTTTGTTGTTTATTGGTTTTGTTTTCTTTTTCTGTAGATTCACGTGAACAATTGTTTTGTAACTGTCTTTTTATGTAGCAACTAGCAAGGTGAAGATAGAACGACCTGCATAAAGAAAAGTTTTATTCTTTCAAATTTGTTAATGTGAGCAAATGTGATTTATTAACTGAATTGGGGCTGGACTAGATAAGCTTTTGCTTCTTCCAGTTCCCTCTCAAATGGTTTTTATGTTATTGTATGTTTTGTATTGTTTCATTCAACAGCATATGTTTATCGTATTCCTCATTTAAAAAAAAAAAAATTTTGTATGCACCAGGAATATGGGGGAGTGCATATGCAATTTCATGTTTTCGATGGTTTGAGATAAATAAATAAATAAAATAAAAAAAATGTGTCCTCTGTAGGACAAGGCATGGCGAAGGAGCTGAAGTCAGAGCACTATCCGTGGAGAAGACCTGCACTGCCAGGCCACCTCACCCTCAGCAGCTGATGTCGAGTTTGGCCCAGCCATAGAAGAACCATGTATGGAATTATAGCTTACCACTCCAAGAAACTGCAAGAGCTAGGAGACCTTTGTGGCAAGGCCATATGACCTATGACCTTCTCTGTCTTGTGTTGATGGGTGTGTCTCAATTCAGGGTCTGCATCCTTCGAAGGACCAGCCTCCTCTGTCGGCCGAGTAGACCGGATGTTAACGGCTGTGAATTTGGACAGGCCTAGCCTTCATTAATTCCCGCCACTCCCTCGGCGAATGTTCCGTTGCCTAGCAACCGTGGAACCGCTGAGCAGAAGAAAGAAGGAACTTTAAACGATGGAGCTCGAAGTTTTATTTAGCTTTTTAATAATTTCCTTGGTTCTGGAGGAGTTAGAAGACATGTATCGGCAACGAAGGCATTTTCTATTGCCCAGGCTGAGACGCAACAATGAGCAGGTAAAGTAATTTCTATTAAGTAGGCTTTACCTATCGGCTATAGCTAGTTTAATTTTAGCAATGTTTTACAGGTTGTAAACAGACTCCGTATTAATTTCAAAATCTATACTCAAAAATAAACTACAACTTCAAATTTTTTATACTTACTCAACTAAAAAAGCTCCCCACCAAAAGAGTTACTCAAGTAAGAAGAAAAAAAATGTGAAAATGGCTTAAAAAATCATTCAGAATTATGGATATCATTAAATAACAAATAACTGTAAGCATAAAGAGCACATTACAATTTATTTTATAGAGTAAGAGCTGTTATAATATTCTGTAATATATATATATATATATATATATTTAAAAAGCACAATTTAGTACTAAACTGCACAATTTAGTATTAAGTTTTTAGAAATTTGAAAAAATAGCTTTAAAATGCACAATATTATCACATTTACATTGAGAATAATTTTATGTTTCATAAAAACTTGAAATTACAGCTTTGAAATAATTTTTTTTTCTGTATTTCTCTTTAACCAGACTAGACCCAGATACTGCAGGATTAACCTGAGTGTCCCAGTCCTGGACAGTTTCTTCAGCCAGCAAGATCCGAGACCAGACTTTCATTTGAGCAGGGAGTCCCTTTCACTGCTGCTGAATCTTCTGAACCAAGATCGGCGTCATGATTGGGGCGCCACAATTGAGACCCTGGTGTTTCTTTTCTGGTTGGCAAGCAGAGCATCTTACAGGGTGGTCTCCAGAGTGTTCGGGATACCTCGTTCGACTGTCCACTGCATCGTCCACAGAGTCACGGAGGAGGTTGTGGCCATTCGCCACCTGGTCACCCACCTTTCAAAAACCCCTGAAGACCTGGAGGTGGTGTCCCAGGGGTTTGCAGGGCTGGCACGGTATAGAGCTTTTTTTAAAGCTGCAGGTGCTGTCGACGACTGCCACATAAGGATCAAGCCTCCAAGCGGCCCAGATGGTCACTGCTACAGGAACAGGAAACTGTTCCCCTCTATCATCCTGCAGGCTGTGTGTGAACATCAGGGCCGCTTCATCGACACCCACGTGGGCTGGCCGGGGTTGGTGCATGACTCCAGGGTGCTCCGCCACAGCCCGCTGTACAGGCAGTCAGTCTACCCTCCTCCAGGGCACTTCATCCTGGCAGATGGTGGGCACCCATGCCTGCAAAGCCCACTCCCACTCATCACTCCTTACAATCATGGGAATCAAGGTGTGGCTGCCCAGCGCTTTAACAGCCATCATTCCAAAAGCACGCTCTGTGATAGAGCGTGCTTAGCTACATACGTGTTTATGTAAGGGTTATCTATAGGAGCGTCCAATAGAGAGTGTGAGGGACCACAGTTCTGCCCCCCAAAGATGCGTAGGAGACGGGGGGAGCTCCAAGTCCCAGAGATCCAGGCGCTGCACCAGAACACAGGAACCCCAAGGAGACTGCAACCAGAAAGGCCCCCGCCCCCCTCAAGAGACACAGAAGATGGCCTGGGGGGGGGGGGGGGCGCACAACCAGCAGCCAGCAGAGTCCCGGGAGACATCAGCGGCAAGCCCTCAGGCCCGCCTGCAGTCTCCCACCCCCTAGCCGGCCGAGCCCGGGACCCAGCGACCCGGAACCCAGGGGCGACCACCCCCGCCAGGGACCCAGCAGAGCCCAGGGACCCAGACCCCACCAGGCCGCCACCGGGAATGATCAATGCGAATGAGCTGATTCAAAAGGTCAGGGCTCGCTGTCTGGCTCTGCTTGTAATTTAACAGTCCCAGTACATATTAGATCGCCACAGGCGACTAGCATGACTACAGCCTCGCATGGCAGCCAGTCAGTCGTGCATGCAATCCGGCTCCCTGGAGCCCTTCTTAGCTTTTTGGGTTAGCTAAGTTAGCTAGTGGCTACATTACATTTGTTCCAACCCTGTTCCAAACAGCACCACAGCTCCACCTCTTTTACCATTTTTGGATTGTCTGGGCGTGACAGGACCTGTGACATGGTCAAAATGGCGGTGGTGTGAACATCCCATTTTTGCACAAAAACTTATAATTGGAGCATGTGGACATGAATTGTCCAGTATATTTTGTTGATGAGGAAGCATTGGGTCTGGGAACTCTCCTATTCCAGTAACCCCACCCCCTGAGAATTCAGACTGAGCCAATCAGCATTGAGCAGCGTCACACACCACGACGCTGAGTTTCTCATAACTGACGAAGACTGAAGCGGAGTTGGCTGCGGATGTTTTCTCTGGTCTAAATGACTTGAACACGTCTTTAAAACAAGTAGAAGCGCTAAAAGCCTTTCTTCTAAAGAAATATGTTTTTGTCGTTACCAGACACCATTTTTAACTACAGCTGAAAAACTACAGCGGCGTGTGGTAGTCGGCTTATCTGCCTTTTTTCTGATTGGTTGTTTTTGAGCTGACTAGCCCCACCCCTCATGTGCCTCTCTGCCTGTGAGTCACCAGACTAGTTCTCTGTAGACAGAGGACGAATCTGACAGGTCAGGCCAGGATTTTTATCCTTCAACAAGAGCAAGGTTCTGTTAAGAAGCTACTTTAGACTCAAGCCAGTGAACAGTAGAGGGACAGTCTTTCTATTTTCAAGTGTCTTTCTGTGTAAAAGTTAGAAATAAGAACTCACACCATCACAGAGAGCTTCCTGGACAGCCTCTGTTTGGAGAGGCAGGACTGGTGTGCTAACATTTAGCCTGAGGACAGTTGGGACTAAAGTTACTTCCTGCTTTCTTAAAACCAATCTCCAGAATCTCTGAGTGTTTTTTTTACTATCATTATTGGTATTGCATGCTGGTGCAATCGGCAGCGCTGCCTTGGAGTGAGATCTCCGAGTCGAATCCCAGCTGCAGCCTTTCTGCGTGGAGTTGGCATGTTCCCCCATGCATGTGTGGATTTTCTCTAGTTTCCTCCCAGAGTCCAGACATGCATGTCAGGTAGTCTGTAAAACTCTAGGTGTGAGTGGTTGTTTTGTCTCTGTGATGGACTGCACACATGTCCAGGGTGTCCCCACCTCTAGCATGGTCTGATGGAGAAGGACCACAGCAGCTGATATTTTGCTGATTTATTTCATGCTTGCAAACTCTTGTAGAATTCTCTCTACAAACCGTTTAGTGTAAAATGTGGTTCTTTAGGGCAGCAGCATCCCATTTTTAGGTAATTACAGCTGTCTGGATGAGGTCACAATAAAAAACTTGGATTTTAGCGTGAATAAAAAAAACTGTACAGTAAAGGACAAAACAGGCTGCTGCCCTGACTTCCACAATAAAAGACTCAAATGATGCTCTGATGCATTTAGTCAGAGGATGTCATGGTTTCATTCTGATTTAAAAACTCAAGGGAGTGTTTGGATCCACTGTTAACGTATTAACTGTCAAGGCTGTGGGGAATGGGATTTGTGCATTCACAGGGCCTTCCCCTGATTCTGTCATTCATGCACTTCTCACAAATATGCATTCGTCTTACTTTCCCCTCAGCTGGACAGCGCTTATTGGTTCAAATCTGATCCTCAAAAGATGGCTCCTCGTTTAAAGGTGAAAAACCATTTTAATGATTATTTTTGACTCTGAGATTTTCATGCAGGCTGAACATGAAAATAGTCTCCTACATCTATCTCCTGCTTTAGCTTCTGATAGAAAACAGACGGTGAAACTCTAGGATTAGAAAATCCTGACAGATCTACGTCACACTGTCACTTAACATTCATGGACTCACCCATCTTCACTCACGACGGGGAAGGCTGTTGTTGGTTTAGCGTCCAGGAAACAGCAGAGAACGTCTCTGCCAGTATAAGCTAACTGTTAGCATTAGCAACTCCACCGCACAGCAGAACTCCTCCAGGCTTGTGTTATTTGCGGAAGTAAAGCAAAAACATTGCAGAGCTGACAGAATCAGTAGTAGTCGTGTTGCTGTTAGCCAATCAGAGGAGAGATGTTTAAATATCAGGAAATAAGACTCCAGATCCTGGCGTGTTAAGCTCTCCTCTGATCTGGGGTTCTGCTAGCTCCTGAAACAAACATATCAGAGTTGTGTGCTTGTTTGCAGAACCTGTTTCATGTTCTTGCTGTAGGAATATAAATGAAATAAAGGAAATTATAGAAATTGTGCATGGTGGGATCCAGGCTGAAATAATGTCCAAAACTCCTGAAACAGAAACTCTGCAGGTTGGGTAAATATCCCTGAAGTAAAAAGAAATAATAAATGTTCACCAGCCCAACAGTTTGAATGTTTTTGCATCATTTAAATGCTGTGCTTTTGTTCTCCTGACTTCGTGCAGACTCTCGGAGAAGGAGGGCCCTTTGCAGATTGTATTTTAGTTAGACCAGAAGAGATAAACCAAACTTCTACTCAACCCTGCGCTGAATGCAGCAGTTTCTCTTTCGAATGAGATTTACAGCAAGGAGGGCTTAGCGCTTCCTGGGGCGTTTTCATTAGAGCCAGCAGCTTGTCCTTCATTCCTTGTCACGTTGCCATGGAAACAAGATGAGAACAAAGGAAATATATTTTGATTTCCTCTCAGTACAGGGACTTGTCAAGTTCTCAGGTTGAGTAGTGCAAAAATAAAACACAACCCCCCCCCACACACACACACAAATTCACACAAGGACACAGATACAAGCATATACACAAACACACAGACACACACGATCATAACACACACATGCATCCAAACACACACACACTCACAGACAAACAAAGGGTCATTAAATAAACACTCATACACACACACACACACACACACACACACACACACACACACACACACACACACACACACACACACACACACACACACGGTCATGTTACACCCCTGTAACGGGGGGATAGTGAAGAAACAACACGGGCACGATATTACTTCTTTTTTTTTTTTCTTTCCCGTGTCCTGTCTGGCTGTGAAGCAAACAGAATTGATGTCTGAATGCTGGTGACAAGCCTTACAGATTTACTCTCAGGTGGAGCATCAAAGTTCCTGCTTTAATGTCACGCCTGATACTTAAAACTTTATTGTTATTGTTTTTGAATGCTTTGTAATTTCGACCAGACACGGAGTCAGAGGTGAAAGAGAAAGGAAAAGACAAAAGGGGGGGGGTTCCACAAAAATAAACAATCAATAATGAACAGGAGTCTGCTTCTAGTCCTGCAGAAAGAGAAAGCAACAATACAGCAGGAGCAAACAATCACTGCATCAACCTGATGAGGAAATATAAAATCAACATTGTTTTACTGAACAATCACAATAATATATAAGTGCATTTAGTGCCAACCACAGCCTTAAGACATGTGTTGAACGTGCCCAAGTCCATACTTAAGAGAGCACCATGTGAGCACCTGTGTGTGTACACGCGCTTGTTTATTTAAGATTTCTCTATAGGAGCATCCAATAGAGAGTGTGAGTGGCCACAGATCTGCCCCCCATAGATGTGTAGGAGATGGAGGGAGCTCCAAGTCCCAGAGATCCAGGAGCTGCCCCAGAGCACTGGGACCCCAGGGAGACTGTGACCAGAAAAGCCCCTGCCCCCCTCGAGAGGTGCAGAGGATTGCCCCTGGGGGCTACCACCTGCAGCCGGCAGAGTCCCGGGAGATATCAGCGGCAAGCCCACAGGCTCGTCCGCAGCCTCCCACCCCAAGCCGGCTGAGCCCGGAACCCTGTGACTTGGGACCCAGGGGCGACCACCCCCGCTGGGGACCCAGCAGAGCCCAGGGGCTCAGATCCCACCAGGCAACCACCGGGATCTATCAGGCAGAAGCCAAAAATCTTAAACCCCCTGACCCGGGAGCCGCAAACACTCAGGCAGACCAAGGCACCACACTCCACACCAGGTGTGGCAGGGGGAGAGGAGGCGAAGATGTGTAGGAGCAATAAATAAAGTCCCAGGAGAGGGGAGGAGTCAAAGGCCCCACCTGACATATACAGTCATACACAAACACAGTCACACACTCCCTCCCTCATGCTCACACATACACATACAACCTAAGACATACAAAAATGCATTCCAGACACCCACTCATGCCCCCCATACACACCCTATTCACTCTGGTCCCGGTGCTGCTGCACAAGGGGTACAACCATTACTGGTTCCCAGAGTTTGAACCTTCCGCTGGGGTGCTGATGAGCACGCTCCCCCACCCAACGCTGAGCACAGCATCCCACCACCCCAGACCCCAGCCAGATGGCTAGATCCCCCTCCTAACCTCCAGCCCCGGGAAGCCAAGCAACAACAGAGGTGTGCTATGACCCCTAGTCTCCCTCCGCCTGCTCCAATACAGTGTTGGTGCGTGTTGAAACGGTGTATTCATGGCTGTGGTCAGCGGGCAGTGCAGGCTTTGTCTGGCCTATACCAGCTGGTGCCACCACACCACCCCTCTTCCCCCCATAGGCCTCTGTGTCTAAGTGCAGTTAAAAAATGGATGGAAGTTGGGATGTGGCTGAAAGATCCCCTTACCAAATGCCATTGAGTGTGCTCACTCCCAAGGCCCTAAGTGTGTGTTTGCATGGAATGTTGTTGGTGGAAGTGTTTAATGTGCTAATAAAATTGGGAGGCAGTCTGCCACAGGAATGTGGAAATGAGGTCCATACCCACACGATGTTACTTCTGTCACTTCCACTGTAATAACGGATGAGCAGAAGTGCTACATTCCCAAGGTCTCAACTCAGACCTTACTAATCAATACAAGATTGGTGAAAACACTCTCATAACAAAAGTAGAAAACCATTACTAAGTCTCTAAAAACAGACAAAATTGTAGAAATAAAAGTAGTGTTAGAGAAAATACATTTTGAGCGCTTTGACCATTTCTCCTTTGTTTTGAAAAGCAGAAATAATAGATCACTGATCACTCAATTGGTAATGTCACTCTATGAACTCACTAATGAATCAAACCAACATGCTTTCATTATTTTCTCTCAGAAAAATAACAAATATTTGTTTTTGACAAATTAATCATGGCATGAAGGAGCATCATGAAGTAAATAAGACGTTATTTGAATCATGAAATAAAGAAAATAATAATTATTCTGTTAACCTGTTAACTTTTTGTACATTAAATTATTCTTTTTACAATCTCTATGTTACACACACACACACACACACACACACACACACACACACACACACACACACACACACACACACACACACACACACACACACACACACACACACACACACACACACACACACACACACACACACACAGCTTAAGTGCAGAGTGTAGAAATGGACGAACATCTGTTAACGTGAGGCTGAGGCCTTTCCCCAGAGCTGGATCTGTAGTCACGTGACTCTGATGCTCATTAATTATTCAGAATGTGAAGCAATAAATGCACTTAAAACAGGAGAGTGTAGAGAAGATGTTCCTACATTTAATTAGAAACCATAGAATGTGAAATATCATGAAATATGAAATATCACCTGAATGGATCTTTGAGTAAATTTAACCAGAAGATCGGACTTTTTTTTTTTGGCAGGGATTGAGCAACACTTCATATCAACTCCAGGAAAAAGAGATGGTCAGGTTAAAAAAGTTAAAAGATTTATTTCTAAACAATTTGAACAAGACTAACTTTAAACACTATATATATATATATATATATATATATATATATATATATATATATATATATATATATATATATATATAGATAGATAGATAGATAGATACAGTATATATATGTATGATGTTACTAAGGTGGAGTAAGACTGAGGATGGTGTGTGTGTGTGAATATGTTCAGAACCAGCAAATGCAAAGAAACGATTAAATCTGATGGGAGTGAAATGGTGTTTCGCTCTGAGCTTTTGGGTTGTAGATTGTGACACACATTGAGACGCTATCTGTCAGTCTACGTACCCAGCGGAAGTCCCCGTTTAGATCAGGAGGTGTCGAGGTCCAGCTTGGACCTTGTCTGGAAACGAAGCCTGTAGCAAAGCTGCAATTGCTGACCAGTCCCGTCTTGAGTTACTCCCAGGTCACGACAGTGTATTGGCATCTAGCAAGAACCTGAACGGTCGTGATGGTTCAGCTTTTATTCTGAAGGAACCGTTGCAGCAGGTGGAACATGCAACAGATTTAATCCAGCTTGTTGTCAGGTTCTTTCGGCTTTAAGAGGAAAGTTACAGATCGGTCACTCCGATAACTTCTCTAGAGCGCTTGGAACTCAGTTAAGGGTGACGTGGGAATTAGTTTTATAATTCAAATGCTTTAATTTATGGTTGAATCAGAATTTGCCAACAAACGGGGATTTAACAAGCACCAACAAAACCACACCTCGCGTCAGATCTGGAAGGTTCTGATTGGATCAGAAAAAGGAATGTGTCATGTGACATAGCATTACATGTGGTCAGTCTAGTGTCTAGTTTTAAGTTATATTACTTATTAAAACTATTATAGGATTATAGTATCAAGTAATTAATAATCTAATTTCACAGATTGATTGAATATCGAGCTTCACATGATTATTTGGACTAACAAAGTTATTTGATCATTATTTAATAGAGAAGAGTTCTTCGTCTTCTTTCTTCTTTCTTGTGCCGTCCGAGGAAGCAACAGTTTAGATAAGAGCACAGAGCATGAGTAGCCTTGGCCCATATCTTGTAGATTAGGCTTGTGTCAGAAACCTATGGTTTTGCTTGGGAGGAATAAATAGAGCAGTGCCTTTAGGTCAGAAATGGACAGTTCATCACGCTACAAGAGTAACAAAGAAGCCCACCCCAAGAGTTGTCATGGGTGTAAACTAGATATATTAAACCTAAAATCTGCTGTCTAAAAGTCCATTTTTAACATGGGAGTCAATGAGGATGTGCTCACTTCTGCTGTCAGCCTCTAGTGGATGAGGGTGGAACTGCAATTTTTGCCACGTCCTTGTTTGCTTCATGTCCAGAACTGAATTATGGGGGCTTGTGCTTCCCAAAAGGAAGCATGGGGCTGGCCGGTCAGGCTATAAACATCCCCAAAAACCCAGCATGTGAGTAATTCCTGTCTGGGTTGTAATCGGTCTTTCATACATCTAGATTGATCCATGTCTGTCGTCATTTTGCACTAGCGACAGATGAAAACTTCAGGTAAAGTTGCACACCTGACCCAAGGACACACTGGAGTTGTATTGAGTCAGAGGAGCCAAAGCGTTGATGCAGCACTTGCAACGCCCATGAATCATGAGCACATGCTGACATGCCCCGAATCAATACGAAGTCAAGTAATAAGAGCCGGCAATCAGCGGCCTCATGAGGAGCAGGTTTGGAGCCATCTTTATACATAATTCTGTTGACACACAGCAGCACCGTGGCTAAAGGGCACGCTAGATTTACTGCAGCAATTTGGTTGCAATGAGGAAAGACAATCAGGCTTGTGAGAGCGTTTCGGTGTAAAGTTTATAAAATCAAAGCCCAGGAGCGTGAGGCGATGTGTCTTAGGATTTTAAACACCCATAACAAGCATAAATCCACAGATTACCATTTAAAGAGACTCTACAGTGGAAGTCACAGAGCAGCTGGTTTAGCATGAAAGCCGACAAAGAAACTGATGATAAGATGAACATTCAATCGCTGCAGAAGCTAATGAACAAATGAAACAGTGAGTGTGAGCCGGGTGCTCCAGCATCTTCAGAGGCAGTTTAATGCTTTTCATGTTGTTGTGAAACGAGTGAAAACGGGAGCGACGGGATCTGAAACAGACTTTCAGCTTTCCTCTATCTCTCGTCTCGTC